ATTCCTGTTTTCTTTTTCTTTTTGAAGTATCTTACTATAAAAAGAAATAATAATCATAAAAAAATTATTATGTGGCCTTTTATCATCATTTTTACTTGGAAGATGACGTTCTTAAGCGCAAATGTCAAGAAGTTCAAAGATATATATATATACTATTTCTTTTGTCATTCATGCTTATACATCAGCGGATGATCTTCTTAAACTTATCAAACGAAATCAGTATAGAAAAACATAATTATTAATCAACGATTTTACATATATTTTGATATGAGGTTCAATATAGAAGACTACGGATAAAACAATCGAGTAACTATCGTAAATCGTCTTAATTTTTCATTATGAGGATTTCCACAATAGTTTTTCTAGGATGTACTTCTAGTTAGATTTAATTTTTATAAAAAAATAATTATCCAAAGAATATTATCGAGAGATAATATTCACCTTAAGAATATTTAGTAGGATTAAAAGTATATTAGTTTACCTGATGATCTTGAATTTACTGGATATGTAACAAAATCTCTTCTTATAGGTCGATTTTCTCGTTGAAATATTGATTGAGCTAAATTTGTAGGTAAATCATGTGTTTCACCAATGAGATTAAAATTTGTTTGTTGTTCTTCATTATTAATCATAATTCGACTTGAAGGTGATGTAAATGGTCTATGAAGTTCATCTCGAACAAATGAACTTCCACTACGTGTTGTTTGAGAATCACTGTTCTGATAATCACTTAAACGATCTCGCATACGTTTTCTATGTAGACCACCGGTTTCACTATCATCCCATTTATCAAACATTGATGATGAATTTCGTTTAAAATTTTTTTTATTTAATAAACGAGGTGACATTGTTAATAAATGTTTAGGTAAACTATATTTATATAAAAATTCTTCTTCTGTTTGTGTAAATTTACCTACAGTTAATAATTCAATTAATTTACCATTTTTTTCATCAATATGATATAAATGTAATTTTTGATGTTGAATTGATAATATTGCTAATGTTGATTTATATATTGTTAAACCAATACGATCAAATTGAAATTCAAGTTGTTGACATATAATACCACGTGAATAATCAATAAGAAATATAAGAAAATGTTCAAAATAAAATCTTGATAATGGATTAAGATCTTCATTTGATTGTACTAATTGATTATAAGGTGGATGTTGTTGTTCATTAACTAATTTTGATGCACATATTATAGCATATTGATCACGAGAAAAAAGACAATAGATATGATTACGATTTAATGAATAACCCATCGAAGATGAACGTATTTGTATTGTTACATGATGTTCAAAAATTTTATTAAAAGCATGATCACGTAATTTTTCACAATTAACTGTATCAGATAAATTTTGTCGTGAATTATCCTCATTTTCATCTAAACGTGTATAATTTGTTGATGGAGAACATTGGATTAAATCTGGATAAATACGTTCGAAACCTAGAATATAAATAGACTTTGCAAGTAATAGTAAGAAAATATAATTGTTTCATAAGTATAAATATTAATCAGTTCGTAATCTAAATATATAAGGTTTCTTTTATACTATGTGACCTCCTTTAGAGCGGGTACACTTCACTGATAACTATATTTAGAAAAAAATGAAATTTATAAATCATTTAATAATGCTTTTAAAATTTCACCTTCGTTTCACCTGATCATAATTAAATTATCAAATACAATGTCATAATAGAAGTGTATGGCGTAATTACGTATGCTTACGAAATAAGAAAAAAAATCGTAATATCTCTCAGGGTAATCTAGTACGGTTATTACGTCTTTGCTTTGTCTATTCTTTCGATACGGAAAACTCCCGCGTTGCTATTCATAGTCTGGGAATTAAAAATAAAAATAGTTCATAGTACAATTGTATTACCTTTATATCTATAGACAATTAATGATTCAAGATCGTGTGAAAATGCAAGTAAATATTGTCCATTTGGTGAAAATCTTCTAATATATACTGCTTGTGGTACTGTACACATTAAAATTGAATATGATGGATGAATAGCACGATAAGCATTTGTACGTCGTGCAATAAAATAGTTTATTCGTGATTTTGAATAACCAAGTTCTCGATCACGTAACCAACATACTAAATTATGTTTAGGTATCGAACGATGTGAAAGATTTTCATGTTCATCATCTACTATTCTACGATTTTGAAATATATTCAAATATTTTCGATGTCGAGATGAAGATATAGCCATTATTATTATTTTGTTTTGTATAATTGATTACATGTTTGAATAAATGGGATTCTTTTTTTTTCTTCTTATTATAAACCTTGTCATACACATTCATATGGAAAAGAATCGAAGGATAGTTATATATATATATTATTGATAGATAGAGTTCACTACAATCAATTGAAACACATTCATTGATTGTAGTGAATAAAATAATGTAAAAATAAAATATTTAGTTTTACTTTTTTTCGAAAAATTTTTCTTTAATAAATAAAAAATCTTCGAAATTAATTTTATTTTCTATATTTAATATGTTCGCTAGAATCGATGTTTAAATAAATACAAAAAAAAAGATGGTTGAATCTATTCCAAAATTTTTGTTTTCTTTTTTTTCTTTGGCTTACATCCATTTTTGATATTTAAATGACAAGAAAAATTTTGTTCTATTATAATTTAATTTAATATTTTGCTCTTTTTTCAGAATTAATACATACCGTCAATTGACGTGTCTGTTTTTCTCCGTGTGTGTGCGTGTGATTCAACGTCCCGTTTATTTCTTTTTTGGATTAATTTAGCAGACATATGTGTTTGTGAATACGGCGAATAGCGCAGATTTATTTATTCTTTTAATTATTGCTTTTCTTTTGTCAAAAACACAATATTTTATTTATTAACAATGTCATCAACACGAACTGCTCCACGAACATCAACAATTAATAAAACATCATCAAATCCACATCATACAAATGGTTCAACTAGTTCCTATGATATGAATGATGCAAATGTTACTCCTAGCAATACATCTGAGTAAATCAAATAGCTTCTTTTTTTTCTTAAATTTTATCTAACGAAATTTTGTTGATATCATAAATTTCAATTTAGTTTAAACGATAAACAGAAGTATAAAAAAAGTATTTTTGATTCATTTTTTTCATTTAGTAGAAAAACGAAAAAAAAATTTTTTTTTGAGATTTTTTAATTTGCTAATTGCTTTTTAGTATCAATTGATTTATGATATTAATAAATATTTAAATATTTAGATTTGATTCAAATCTACAAAGATCAGTTTTGATAAAAAATGCTTCTCAAGTATGTGTGAAATTTATTAATATACTTATAAAAAGAGAAAAAATTGCTTTTTTTTTAATTATTTAGCCTGATGGTATATATCGAAATGCTCGACTTATTCATGCAGTAACTACTGGTTTAGTGGTAAGTAGATTTTATTCGATAAAAATCAAATGAAATAAAATATAATGTTTATTTTAGGGTCAACCAGTTGTTATTCAAACAAGTGAACAAGAACGTTTTCATGGCATACTTGAAACAATATCACCAAATGGTGATGTTCTATTATCAGTTGCTCATCGAATAGATAATAATAATGATATTATGAAATTATCAACATCACTTATTGATCTTTTCGATACAATGGATAGTTCAATACAAACATTTGAATTACAAAAACGTGTTATTTCATCATCAATTATTGTTGAAATGATTGCTATTGATGTTGATTTATCTGGTAATGGAAAATGTAAGTGAAAAAGACACAAAAATTGAAAGATAAAGCATATTTTGATATATATATCTGTAGGTATGCTTGAAGAAACTCCTAAAGTATCTCAATTAGAAGATGAACGTTTTAATCGTATGCAACATTTTTATGGAACAGATGAAATTGATCCAGATACAATAGAAGATCTTGAAATTGGTGACGATGGAAAAGTAATTTAAATAAATGAAAATTAATTTTCATTTAAAATTCTTCTTTTTTTTCTTCTCAAGGCTGGTTATGATCCAGAAGATATGTTTCATACAAATCGAGAAAAATTTAATACAACAACTGATTTTGATGAAACAAAATATACGTATGTATTGATTTAATTTTTGATATTTATGAATTGATTTCTCTTTTTCTTAGTAATGTACCTATTCGTCAATTGACAGTTGATGAACAAGCTGATGTTGATAAGAAAGCTATGGAAATTGAAAAAGGAATTATAACTGAAGATATTGATGAGGATGATGCTGGTAATTCTAATAATTATTCTTCAATAGAAATTATTATTTTGTTTTGTTTAGGTGTAAAACGTCCATCTGAATTTAATCAAACACAAAATATCGACGATGGAAATAGTAATATTAAAACTAATCAACCATCACGTATACATACAAATAATCGATCAGATTTTCGTTATGATACAGAATATGTTCCAAAGTAATTCTTTATTTTATTTGTTCTTATTTAATCTTTTCATAAAAATTAGACGTGGTAATTGGCGTGACCAACGAGGTGGTGGTAATAATCGACGTGGTGGTGGTCCAAATAATTATCCAGTAAATAATTCTAAGCAAAATCAACGTTCAGAACAAACACAATATATATCATCACGTTCATCTGAACAATTATCAACAAATCGTCAACAACCTTATAAATCACGAAATAATCGTTATGTAGATAATTCTTCACCACATGAAGGACGTGATTCACCATTAAAAATAACAAATGATGAAGCAACACGTGGTCAAAGAATTAATAGTGGTAGTTTTTCTCAAGGACAAAATTCAGGTCCAACAAGTCCATCAACAGCACTACCAGCACGTTCAGTTTATTCAGCTAATAGAGGATCATTAATTGGTAGAAATTCACCAGCACCATATACTGGTAGTTCATCATCACGAAATAATTCAACAACAGCAACATCGCCACCGCCATCGGCAACAGGAGCAGCACCATATCAAACAAATTCAACTGGAACAGGAAATTATTCACAACAATCAAATAATAAAATGGTCAAAAAACAATCACGCAGTAATAAGAAATGATTTAGATTTTTTTTCTTAATTTTTTTTATTTTTGTTTGTATTAAAGATGAACAACAATCAACAAATGATGAAAATGACCAACCAAAACAACAACGTAATCAACAACAAACTTCTACAAATAATCAACCAAATACAGTTCCACTAAATCGCCCATCACATTTACATACTCAACAAATAAAACATCCACAGCAACAACAACAACAACAATCATCATCAAATAATAGTGTTCCACCTCCATTGACACTTTCAAATCAAGACGATCATTCATCTAGTCATGAACCAATAAATTCAAATCAATCAGATCCTACATTGCATATAGCAAATACACCTGTTTATTCACAACAAGCAGCGTATGTTTATTATATTTAAAAATATTTAATCTTAACACACACACATAAACTACTTCTTTTTTTTACTATTATAGAGCATCTGCTAATACAAAAGCAAATTCAGGATTAAATCCAGAAGCTGATGAATTTGTTCCTGTATTTTCGGTAATAATTTCTTTTTAATTTCAATGAATTAAAATTAAAGATCGTTATTATTTTTCTTTATAGCGAGAAAGTAGTTCTCGACCTGAATCTCGTGGAGCATCGACAAGTGCAATGCAAATGCCAACATTTATATCACATCCTCATCCACAAGCAATTCATCTCTTACAACAACAACAGCAACAACAGCAGCAGCAGCAGCAACAACTACAACAACAACAACAAAATCAGCCACAACAACCATCAATGATACCACAAACACATCCACCAAATGCTGCAGCACTCTATCAACATTATTATCAAGCACCTTATCAAAATATGCAACAATTTGTTAATGCTACACCACAACAGATGAATGCAGGTATGATGAGTGCACCAATGATGCCACCACAAACACAACAATTAGCTGGTAATGGACCGAATACAAATAATGCAAATAATGTAGGTACAGGTGGTATGACAACACCTAATAGTGGTTCTGGTCCAACATATAAAACAAATAATAACCCAGCACATAGTGGAGATACTGGAAATAGCGGTATTAATAATATTCCACCGAAAAAAGGTACATAAACTATAGATAATGTCCTTCAAAACCTTATTATTATTATTATTATTTTAATTTTTAGCTGTTGTATCTGTTCAACGTCCTGAACAATCGAATATACCTCAACAGCAATCAGTGGCTGGTGGTCCACAAATGGTATTTCAAAATGCTCCACTTCGATATTATCAATCTGAATATATTCCGCAACGTATGAAAATTTCATTTTTATTAAATTTATTTTAAGAATTAATTTATTTTTTCTATTATAACAGAAGGAACTGGACAATCCATGCAATTGCAACAAATACCATTCTATTATACAGCGGGTGGTTTAATTCAAGCAGCTGCAGCACCTGGTGTCGGTCAACCACAAAATATAATGATTCCATCGGGTAGTTCATCAACTGGACCAGGTGTAGCAGCTCCACCTTCTTTATATTATCCAGGAGTATATCCAGGTATAATTAAAATAAATTTATTTTTTGTTTCATTTCAATCTTTTCTTTTTATTCTATATTTTCAAGATCCACGAATGTATAGTGTGTATCCATCAGCAGCATCTGTTAATCCAGGTGGTGTAAATGCTAATTGGCAATTAACACGTTCACCTCCTCATCAACAACAACAGCAACAACAACAACAACAACAATCAAATGAACAACAACAACAACGAGGTTATGGTGGTGGACAAAATGTTGTATCTCAAGCACCACTACCAGCAGGTGCACAAAATCCTGGTGGTGGTGGTGGTGGTAATGGTGGCCGATCGGCATCAACATCAGGCCCAGCAGGTCAGACTGGTACTAGTAGTGGTGGTCCACCAATGACACCACAATATGCATTGAATGGAAATGTACCAGCAACGTATGCATATGGACCACCAGCTGCATGGTATCCTGCTCAACCACAAGTTTCATCACCACAAACAAATATGCCACCTCAAATTAATACATATGGTATGATGTTTGATCCATCTCAACAAGCACCACTACAACAACCAACATATGTACATCAAAATTCATACGAAACTGCCTATTTTCAACCAGCACAACAACAACAACAACAACAACCTCCACAGCAAGGCTTAGACACAGTGCCACCGGGTAGTTATAATCGCTAAACGTTTTTTTTCTCTTTCTCTATCTCTCTCTTTATTTCTATATATGTACTTGTGAATGTGCTTTTTTTTCTTTTCATTTGGGTTCTTCGTTTTCTTCTTCATCTATTTCTCTTGTTGTGTGAAACATACTTCTATTTAAACATTAAACTCTCTTTTGTTCATCTTCATCATCGTTCTTTATGTTTGTTTGTCTATTTGTCTCACCCTTTTTTTTT